AAAAGGGCCTGAAGATAATGTCCACTTTCTCCAATGATTCTTTATATGTCATCAAGTACTGATTATATTGATACCAAAACCGATCCAATATGTAACTACTACGGTGAATTTTGAACAACAGTTTTAAATGAAACCATTTTCGTATAAAAGTACATTTTTGAAACAGACTATAGCATTTCAAAATATGAAAAATGTGTAAATATTTGTGTTTAAACATCGAAAACTATTCGTTAACTACAAAATGTCATGCCTATTCTAATTTTTATAGTCTGCCATTCGAGTGAACATTTCAATGTTCAATGGGGGTCATTTCTGTACATTTTCACTGAATTTGGTAATTTCGATAACAGCATTTGGATCGAGATTGTCATGTTTAAAAATCGATTTGTATATCCAAACTCTAGACGTGTACGTGCTTTTTTCAAACAAATCAGCAGAAGTTCAGAAAACGACATATTCTCTCCACAGTAAGTCAAAAGTCGAACCCACCCTTTTTTCTAAGGTAAAACGCAATACAAATATGAAATAGACTATAGCTTAAAAACTAGTTAATCAATAATTCATTTGTCACCAAAAAATACGGTTTCACATCAAATATCAAGTAAAATTACTGTTTTTGACACTTTTTGAGCACTATGATAAAGAAATGTCGACGCTGTATAGGTTGAAATAAACAATTAATTTCCCCATAGGCGACAATGATAGCCTTTTTCGAGATACAGACTTTAGAAAGATGATTTTTTAAACGAAACCTTGCTAGAATTAAAGAAAAGTTATTAGGACAGTATTTTTTGGTCCAAAAAATATAGGTTCGCGTTGCTTTTCTTAGCGTAATTTGTACTTATCTCCCATGCCTATCAATTTTGCACATAAAAATACGTGTCTCATCCTAGCGTTTAAAAGACATCTCAGTTCCGTTAGGGCTAAGGAAAATAATTTATTTGGCCTTTGGTATAATGCAGAATGCACGAAGTCTCTAATAACAAAAAATAACGGGCGCACATATCAACCAATCAGGATTAGCTATACTCTTAATTCTGAATACCATGTTATGCTCATAAAATGGCTGCGCCCATAAAATCTAATGGTGTATTGTAACCTATACGGTATTTAATACTGTCTAGAATCATGCAATTCATAGTTCGTTAGATGCACAAATATATATGCCACACAAAAATCATCTTCAAAACGTTCTGGCATTACTCTCTGAATTTTCACAATTTTTTATCAGAGGTGACCCCAGTCAAAAAATGTGAAAAAAAAATTTCTGATTTTTTTGAGTAAATGCGGTACTGCTAAAAAGGGCCTGAAGATAATGTCCACTTTCTCCAATGATTCTTTATATGTCATCAAGTACTGATTATATTGATACCAAAACCGATCCAATATGTAACTACTACGGTGAATTTTGAACAACAGTTTTAAATGAAACCATTTTCGTATAAAAGTACATTTTTGAAACAGACTATAGCATTTCAAAATATGAAAAATGTGTAAATATTTGTGTTTAAACATCGAAAACTATTCGTTAACTACAAAATGTCATGCCTATTCTAATTTTTATAGTCTGCCATTCGAGTGAACATTTCAATGTTCAATGGGGGTCATTTCTGTACATTTTCACTGAATTTGGTAATTTCGATAACAGCATTTGGATCGAGATTGTCATGTTTAAAAATCGATTTGTATATCCAAACTCTAGACGTGTACGTGCTTTTTTCAAACAAATCAGCAGAAGTTCAGAAAACGACATATTCTCTCCACAGTAAGTCAAAAGTCGAACCCACCCTTTTTTCTAAGGTAAAACGCAATACAAATATGAAATAGACTATAGCTTAAAAACTAGTTAATCAATAATTCATTTGTCACCAAAAAATACGGTTTCACATCAAATATCAAGTAAAATTACTGTTTTTGACACTTTTTGAGCACTATGATAAAGAAATGTCGACGCTGTATAGGTTGAAATAAACAATTAATTTCCCCATAGGCGACAATGATAGCCTTTTTCGAGATACAGACTTTAGAAAGATGATTTTTTAAACGAAACCTTGCTAGAATTAAAGAAAAGTTATTAGGACAGTATTTTTTGGTCCAAAAAATATAGGTTCGCGTTGCTTTTCTTAGCGTAATTTGTACTTATCTCCCATGCCTATCAATTTTGCACATAAAAATACGTGTCTCATCCTAGCGTTTAAAAGACATCTCAGTTCCGTTAGGGCTAAGGAAAATAATTTATTTGGCCTTTGGTATAATGCAGAATGCACGAAGTCTCTAATAACAAAAAATAACGGGCGCACATATCAACCAATCAGGATTAGCTATACTCTTAATTCTGAATACCATGTTATGCTCATAAAATGGCTGCGCCCATAAAATCTAATGGTGTATTGTAACCTATACGGTATTTAATACTGTCTAGAATCATGCAATTCATAGTTCGTTAGATGCACAAATATATATGCCACACAAAAATCATCTTCAAAACGTTCTGGCATTACTCTCTGAATTTTCACAATTTTTTATCAGAGGTGACCCCAGTCAAAAAATGTGAAAAAAAAATTTCTGATTTTTTTGAGTAAATGCGGTACTGCTAAAAAGGGCCTGAAGATAATGTCCACTTTCTCCAATGATTCTTTATATGTCATCAAGTACTGATTATATTGATACCAAAACCGATCCAATATGTAACTACTACGGTGAATTTTGAACAACAGTTTTAAATGAAACCATTTTCGTATAAAAGTACATTTTTGAAACAGACTATAGCATTTCAAAATATGAAAAATGTGTAAATATTTGTGTTTAAACATCGAAAACTATTCGTTAACTACAAAATGTCATGCCTATTCTAATTTTTATAGTCTGCCATTCGAGTGAACATTTCAATGTTCAATGGGGGTCATTTCTGTACATTTTCACTGAATTTGGTAATTTCGATAACAGCATTTGGATCGAGATTGTCATGTTTAAAAATCGATTTGTATATCCAAACTCTAGACGTGTACGTGCTTTTTTCAAACAAATCAGCAGAAGTTCAGAAAACGACATATTCTCTCCACAGTAAGTCAAAAGTCGAACCCACCCTTTTTTCTAAGGTAAAACGCAATACAAATATGAAATAGACTATAGCTTAAAAACTAGTTAATCAATAATTCATTTGTCACCAAAAAATACGGTTTCACATCAAATATCAAGTAAAATTACTGTTTTTGACACTTTTTGAGCACTATGATAAAGAAATGTCGACGCTGTATAGGTTGAAATAAACAATTAATTTCCCCATAGGCGACAATGATAGCCTTTTTCGAGATACAGACTTTAGAAAGATGATTTTTTAAACGAAACCTTGCTAGAATTAAAGAAAAGTTATTAGGACAGTATTTTTTGGTCCAAAAAATATAGGTTCGCGTTGCTTTTCTTAGCGTAATTTGTACTTATCTCCCATGCCTATCAATTTTGCACATAAAAATACGTGTCTCATCCTAGCGTTTAAAAGACATCTCAGTTCCGTTAGGGCTAAGGAAAATAATTTATTTGGCCTTTGGTATAATGCAGAATGCACGAAGTCTCTAATAACAAAAAATAACGGGCGCACATATCAACCAATCAGGATTAGCTATACTCTTAATTCTGAATACCATGTTATGCTCATAAAATGGCTGCGCCCATAAAATCTAATGGTGTATTGTAACCTATACGGTATTTAATACTGTCTAGAATCATGCAATTCATAGTTCGTTAGATGCACAAATATATATGCCACACAAAAATCATCTTCAAAACGTTCTGGCATTACTCTCTGAATTTTCACAATTTTTTATCAGAGGTGACCCCAGTCAAAAAATGTGAAAAAAAAATTTCTGATTTTTTTGAGTAAATGCGGTACTGCTAAAAAGGGCCTGAAGATAATGTCCACTTTCTCCAATGATTCTTTATATGTCATCAAGTACTGATTATATTGATACCAAAACCGATCCAATATGTAACTACTACGGTGAATTTTGAACAACAGTTTTAAATGAAACCATTTTCGTATAAAAGTACATTTTTGAAACAGACTATAGCATTTCAAAATATGAAAAATGTGTAAATATTTGTGTTTAAACATCGAAAACTATTCGTTAACTACAAAATGTCATGCCTATTCTAATTTTTATAGTCTGCCATTCGAGTGAACATTTCAATGTTCAATGGGGGTCATTTCTGTACATTTTCACTGAATTTGGTAATTTCGATAACAGCATTTGGATCGAGATTGTCATGTTTAAAAATCGATTTGTATATCCAAACTCTAGACGTGTACGTGCTTTTTTCAAACAAATCAGCAGAAGTTCAGAAAACGACATATTCTCTCCACAGTAAGTCAAAAGTCGAACCCACCCTTTTTTCTAAGGTAAAACGCAATACAAATATGAAATAGACTATAGCTTAAAAACTAGTTAATCAATAATTCATTTGTCACCAAAAAATACGGTTTCACATCAAATATCAAGTAAAATTACTGTTTTTGACACTTTTTGAGCACTATGATAAAGAAATGTCGACGCTGTATAGGTTGAAATAAACAATTAATTTCCCCATAGGCGACAATGATAGCCTTTTTCGAGATACAGACTTTAGAAAGATGATTTTTTAAACGAAACCTTGCTAGAATTAAAGAAAAGTTATTAGGACAGTATTTTTTGGTCCAAAAAATATAGGTTCGCGTTGCTTTTCTTAGCGTAATTTGTACTTATCTCCCATGCCTATCAATTTTGCACATAAAAATACGTGTCTCATCCTAGCGTTTAAAAGACATCTCAGTTCCGTTAGGGCTAAGGAAAATAATTTATTTGGCCTTTGGTATAATGCAGAATGCACGAAGTCTCTAATAACAAAAAATAACGGGCGCACATATCAACCAATCAGGATTAGCTATACTCTTAATTCTGAATACCATGTTATGCTCATAAAATGGCTGCGCCCATAAAATCTAATGGTGTATTGTAACCTGATTGTCATCGTCACTGCAAAAGGATCATTAATACCAGGGGGAAAGGAACCAATAAATTGATCGGATCCGATATGAAGTTCCCAGTAACGGAGAACCTCTAACCTGCTAACTTTGAGGTAATATTATTGAATAGGTGGAAAGGGTATTGGGAGACAGGGAGAAAGGGGGCGGGAGAAAGGAGACGAGGGACGGGAGAAAGGAGAAAGGTACCCCCCTTTCCATCCCCTCATTATTAGTGTCGGTGGTCTCACAAATGAATCAGGGTGAATTGCAGGTTACATTAATTAGCAGAGAATCAACTTGTTATTCATTATCTCGCAGTTATTTACGGTTAATTAGCTGTATATATCCCAAAACAGGTGCTCGGAGCTAGTACTAGTCTATGACTAATAAGTAACAATTATATTTATATTCACAATCAGTGGCGGATCGAAGGAGGATGGGATCCGGGGGTTTGACTCCTCTATTGGTGAACGATCAATGCATTTAATGGAGACATATATTTGGACCCCCTTTATCCTGGCTGGAATCGCCCCTGATATTACATGTAAATCAAGTCCCGGGTTACTGTTAGCATAATAGCATAACGGTAATCACAAAGAGTGTGGTAATTTTAAAAAGGACGAGGATTTATAAATATACAATTCTTGAAGGTAAACGGACAGAAAGTCACAGGACAAAAAGTCAGAGGACATAAAGTCACAAATGGGATAGGACAAAAAGTCACAGGACAAAAAGTCACAAATAATTTGTTGACAATTGTTTGAATATATAAGAGAAAGATCTTCAAATAATTTCTTTTTTTTACATTTATTCATTTTTAAGTTTAGAAAATTGTTCATAAGCCTTGATAAATGAAAAATTATTAAATTTTAATCATGCAAATGATATATTTTTTGGAACCATGCAGCCATTTAAGTGCCAAACCTCTTTGACATTTTGTTATCATAACAATTATTTGATCATCATTGATATTTATTGAATAAATTTTATTACAATGTTGCTTCATATATTATAGTTCAAGAAAAAATCAAAAATTTATTTTTAAAATTAGTGTTTTCTTGTTCAGAGAAAAATAATCTCAAAACTGAATTGTGACTTTTTGTCCTGTGACTTTTCGTCCGTGACTTTCTGTCCTGCATTCTTCTTGAAGAGGGGGGAGAGTGCATTCACGATAATCGAAAAAAAGTGCCTTGCACGTTATTTTCATCATCTTGTCTGAAACAGTCTGAATAATGAGCTCCAAGGCGAAGCGTGAAAACAATAAGTCATGTGAAATACTAATGACAAACACGTTGTACGGACAAACCCTTAAATCCCTCAATGTTATGTCAAATGAATTATAGCAAGGAAAGGTAAATTTAATTTAATTTCAAAACTAAATATTTGTTATATTTCGCTCCTGATTTCTCAAGAAATCATAGAATCAATAAATGTATAAATTTTAATTATGCATGTCTGTGTGAGATCCATTTCATGAGACCAAGGATTTCTATAAAATCCTTGATGGGACCCTTTATATATACAGTTTTCTATTTTCCCCGGAATTTTTTTTTAAAAAATATAATCTTTTGGGAAATAATCCGATTTTGTTGAATTATTTCCCTTCATAATTACGATAAATCCTTTTAGTTCTTCAATTTTAAATTAAAATAAATATTTCATTTTGATCTAACGACAAACTTTTTAAATTGTAGTGGCATGGTCAGTCAACTGATTAGTTGCATGGCTGATTACCAGTTTACTGGCGACCCAGTAATTTTCCATATAACAGTGGCCTGTACCCTTGGGGTGTGTATATATAACTTATTTTGAATACCTTAATTTTCTGAGGAACATCCTGTCCACGTGTAATACTTAGTATATATTGCAACAGATGACATTAAACAAATTTTCTTTGTAGCATCGGTGTCCATTTCATGTTCAACCACTCAAAAATTTCACAAAAAAGATAATATAATAAAATCATTAAAAAAACACTAGCAAATAAACTTAGCAATGAGTAAACGGAGATTTGTGTTTTAAAGGGCTTATTTCCAGAGGATATATTTCATACTAGATAACTAGACCTGAGAAAAACTTTTTTTTTGTAATATATATTTTATAGTTTTCATATCATTCTCAAATCTCGATCATCTTAAATAAAGATGTACAAAAAATAATTTTGTTATAACTCATAAATATATGGTAAATCATAATTGTTACAAATTATAAAATGGTAAGTCAATGCCCGATGTGCCGCCGTCTGTTGCAAAACTACGATTTAATCTTTTAAATGAAAGACGTGCACTGCCTTCATCGGAACAGAGGAAAGTCCACCTAGTATCCGCTGAAAAAAAAGAGATCATCATAAACTTTTTAGCAGACCTTCTCGTGTAAAAAAAAAACCAAACTTTTAACTGAATTAAACAAAAAATTATCAAACAAAACTCATTAGAACACTCATAGCAACATTTTGTTTAGACCTGAGATAACTTATAGTAAGATTATTTATATAGAACAATTAAAAAATTCATCAATTTATTAAATTTGAACATGTGAACCAAAAATAAAAAAATAACTGACGGGAAATTGGCTATACCTTTTTGGTATTAGCCATGAAGCTTCATGTATGTATACGTACCAGCCACTTCAACTTATTGTTTTCTTAACCTTTAAACAATACATTTTAAAATGAACTACTTTATTTATAGTAGTTCAAGAAAAATATATATATATATATATATTAGATAACTCTTTCCTTTATATTCAATGGAACAAGAAGCGAATTCGTTAGCGAACTAGAGTAACTATAGAAATAGCGTCGTTTCAGGTCTTCTTCTGACCGGCAATCATGTGAAAACCTTAGCAGTAATGAAAGTGGAACGTCCAGTGGGCTGTGCTCAGCCACGTCCGAATGGGGACGTTGAATTCTTGCAACAACTCTTCGAGTGGACTGTAAGTAGCCTGGTATTAGGCCAATTTTCTGTCCTTCCTTTTTCATAGGCAGTCGAAATTTTCCGACCGTATCACGGGCGGTCTCAATTACAAGACCTACATGTACCTATCATATATTATTCGGTACGTCAGACACACCCGACATTAATCAACCAAAAACTCAATATTTTACAGTAGGGAATGAATATCTCCCACGTTCTCTTGTCCCTTGAAGGATCAATATTGAATTTCTTCCAATCGCCCCCCCCCCCCCCCCCCCCCCCCACCCCTTTTTTTATAAGATTACATTATGGCGTATGTTTTTTTTTTAATTTTACGAAAGACCAACAAATCGATTTTTATCACTAAATTTGTCTTTGCTGAGATTAACACTAAAAAAGTATAACAAAACGTAACGATTGAAAACTCACATGCAGTTCAGTTTTTACGGTACGTCTAAACACCGCTCAGGACCTCCTGAGTGCACTCAGGACATACAAAGTGCACTCAGGACATGAAATATATGTTTTGGTTAGTGGTGAAGGTATGCATTCGATAGATTATTTAATTCTTCATCTTATAATTTTTGTTTTGATAAAATCAATTTAATATTTAAAAAGTTATTAAGGTTTTCATCGGCACGCGCCGTTTTTATGAAATATGTCAGGCATGATCGAAGATTATATTGAATACCAATTATCATGTTGATTAGGTCGTTTGATCTTTAATAATTAGGAGTGATTAGTGATGGTACTTACCTCATACAAGTAAGCTTGGCAAACAAACAAAATCAAGATGTCTTTTGAAAAATAAAGAACAATGAAGATATATTGTTTTAGAAAAAAACCGTTAAATAAACATTTTTCTTTTTGTTTGTAATAATTGAAGCCAGTCGAGAAATATGAGAAATCTATATATATATAGTTGGGAAATTTTCATTCAATTCATTTCATTTCATTAACTTAATCAAGGATTTGTATAGTGAGACTCTCACTATACAAATCCTTGACTTAATAGATAAAAAAAATATCGTTATTATTTTCTTTGTATAGATTTTCGTATTTTATTAACATTTCGTGCAATAAAAAGTTTAGTTTTATTCTTAGTTCAAAAATTAAGAAGAATAATTCTTTCGTATTTTCATATCTCTAGATATATTACAATAGACTTTAATTGCATTGTTCCATAGTAAAACAAAGAATCGGTGAAACACCATTAATTTTATAATTTACTTTCAAGCTAACAGATAATCTGATCACTCACTAAAAATAGTGTTTAATTAAAAAAAATAATATTGGTATCATTGCGTTCTAATTCTTATTTATATAATTGTGTGTGTGTGTTATGTTCTATTTTCTTGTCTTTGAGATTCATTCAAATAATTAAAACTTTTTGACCAATGAGAGGCTGTGTATGTATAACATAACGATTCAATCAAAATTTCATTTAGTTAGATTTATTCCTCTATTGAAACTCGTTCTTGTCCAGTAATAAATCCCTTAAACGAGTTTGAAAAGGGAAATAAATTTGTCATACTTTTCATGAATTAAGATTTAGTTTTGTAAATGGAACCCGTTCTTAACTGTAGAAGCCGTACTTGCCAAAATACGCTTTTCAAATAATCAAATCTCATATAGTTAGTGTTCTTTCTCATTTTTATCGTTCTTGTCCAGTAATTTCATTCTTGAGTAATACGAATGTTTTAAAAATCCGCATTTATTAAGATTTATCTTTCTCATTAAAGTTGTTCTTGTCTAGCTGTAATACAAGCCTTGAACGAATTCCAATGTGAAAATAAATTCTGAAAAATTAATTTGTCTCCGTTTTCTGAAAATTATCATATTTGGGTATTATTTCTAAATAATTTGTAAGTAAACGAAATCCGTTCGAACCACGACTAAGTCTTCGTGCACAGAGTTTGAAGTGCCAAAACCCCCAAAACTTGCTCGTAAGCCAAACCAAAGGAAAAGACCAAGGACAGCACGTACGCAGCCAAGATATTAAACTTAGCAAATCATATAAATAAATACTGATCTGTCTTATTAAGGTTAAGTTCTAAAAATTGTCATTGAAAATATAGGACCAGTTCATAATTTCAATAAATTTGCTATCTATATCAAGGCTGTGAAGATCTTGAATAAATTTTGAACATTCATGAAAAAGGTTATATCGAATATCGTCATAAAGTGTGCATTCCATAAGGAAATGTTTTTCAGTCTCTACACTGCAACTTTCACAAAACTTAATAACATCGTGTTATTCATTTTAAACGTAACACAGTACTAACAACACAATTCATAAACAACAATAAAGATAATCCAATCAATTTTGTTGATTGGATAATTCACGGCTCAGTAGTTGTGTAATCAGTGACACGTGCCCTCATTATTTCATAAGAATTAACATGTCTATCTAAGTTCGATTTCAAATTGTACCAAAATTTAACTCTTAAATAAGCAGCGTGTAACGAATATATTCATCCATCCTGTGTGCAAATACGATGACTATAAAGGGTCCTGAGTGCACATTGTATGTCCTGAGTGCACTCAGGAGGTCCTGAGCGGTGTTTAGACGTACCCCAGTTTTTAAGATATTTTTTTCTTTGGAAACTAACAGACTAATTTTCAAAAAGTTTTTTCTTGAACCATTATTTATTAAAACGAATTTGTAAACAAAAGTTATTCTTAAATATTAATAATGATCAATGATTGTAAAGAAAAATCCATCATAGTAGTTTGTTAATTTACTGGATCCATGGTGTTAAACATGTCACCTTTCTTTTACAAATAACTGATTAAAAATATGAAGCCTTTACTGTAAAATAAATCATTCTAAAAAAATAAATTCATCCAGATTTTTCTCTCATAACCTTTCAACAGTTATTGTAAACTAATTTATTCGAACTATAATAGTCCTATGACTTGCTGTCCGTTTACCAATATTTATACTTTATTAAGTGTTTTCATATTCATTGATCATTAACTTCATGTTTTGCGAATATTTATAAGGGGGTAATTATTATAGCCAGTAATAGCTAACAATTTATCTAAAGAAAACGAGATGCTATATTCAAATTCTGAGATACGAATCTAGTTCTTTATAAAAAAAAAAATTCTCAACAACAAAATTCTACACTTTCATCTATCTTGGTCTTTTTGTCTCCGCTTCGAAGCCGACATCCCGTACCAAACATTTCTATTCGTTCGCCAATATACAGTCATGTAAGTAATATACAACAGGCAGTAGATCTGGATTTGTAAATTGTTATTTTGGATTTTACCTGATTAGGACGTGTCTCGTTGAATTTTCTAATAAACTTACACACACATAATCGTAATGTTATAAGAACATAGAGCTACTGTATATATAGGCCTAGTTGCATGCAAGTCTTTACAACTTATATATTTTGGTATGCTATAGTTTGTTTTTATAGACTATTTGTCATTTGGTCGGGGTTTTTTGTTGTTGTTGTTTTTAGTTTTTGACATGGCGTTGACTCGAGTTTGATATATTATGCATCTTTTGTGCTGTATTTTAACAATTATTTACAAGAATGCTGCATGTTTACACATTCATCACTATACCGCATCTAAATATAGCTTTATTGTAAAAAAAAATAAGGAGATGTAGTATGATTGGTGATGAGACAACTATCAACCAGAATTTAAAATACCTGATATAAGCAATTGTGACTTACTTTCTTTACTCAGAGTGATCGTGAATTAATCAGATAAGCTGGAGGAGGGTTTTTTTTTTGGGAAGGGGGGGGGGGGCTTCATACTAAAAGAAACGAAATTAGCATTAGCTTTTTGTGATAGATATATAATAAACTCACAGTAACAGAAATAGCTCTTGAAAGTTCTGTCAGATCCCGGCATTTTTAACTGTTTTTGACGCGTGCTAAAAAATGCAGCACCTGGTTACAGGGGCTCATTTGACAAATTATCATCTTTCGTAATTTAAGTTATAAAATCTAAAATTAAAGTGATCTAAAATGTTCATGACTAACGAGTATTTTCACTTGTACGCTGTGAAACGAGTCTAAGAGTATATACATGTATATCGGGATACTGACTGCATAGTAAAATATTTATGTACCTATTAGTTGCGGCTCATTTTGGTCTTTTAAGTAAGTGTCCTTCCCCTGCATTACTTGATCGCTTTTGTAAAAAATAAACAGCACAACAACAGCACTCGACATCAGTATAATTTGTACCAAAAAATGAAGAAAATATTCAAAAAGAAGGCTCATAAAATTCAAATATTGGTAAGCACGCACACTAATTTGTCACTACGGACATGATCTTTTTGTTAATGCGCCAAACTCGTTTCTTCCACAGGACGATGTCGATGGTGGGGAAAATGACGTCTTGCAAGGCTATTTAGGCGTCCCAGAAAAAAAAATTAAAATAGCCTTGCCAGACGTCATAATTATTTGGACTAGGGAAAACCCAACAAATCATTAGTTCCCCAAATGAGTATCCTAGTTGAAAGTTTTTTTTAATATGATATAGCTATTTTTATATTGGAATGGCACATATTCATGAAAAATCAACAAATGATCCGAAAGTCGAAAAGATGAATATAGTCCTCTGACTTCACAAACTTGGAAACAGTTGTGATGTTGCTTCGCTGAGCTATAGATAACCGTACAACCATCAACAATGAGCAAAATTCACACCATATAGACATAGGTGCTTGAGGACAGGAGTCGAGATTCACATTGATAGTAAACATGCATATTAAGAGTAAAAATATGGTATATTAGTATATATATGGTACAAATAAGTGATATATATTGAAAAATCTAAGATTTATGATAAGAAGGGGGAGGGACTATGGTGGGGTGGGGGGGGGGGGGGGGGGGGCCTCAAAACAGGATCCTGTCCTCAAGCACCTATGCATATAGAAAGCTGTAAATATAATAAAAGGCCTCGAAATGACAAATGTAAAACAAAAAAAAACAAGAAGCCTAACATTTGAAATAGAATTTAAACTAAAATTGAAAATAGAAATGGGGAATGTGTCAGAGAGACAACAACCCGCCCAAAGAGCAGATAACAGTCGAAGATCACCAATGTGACTTCAATGCAGCGAGAAAATCCCACAACCTGAGGTGTGCTTCAGCTGGCTCCTAAACAAAAATGTATACTAGTTCAGTGATAATGGACGTCATACTAAACTCCGAAATATATAAAAGAAACTAAAATTAAAAATCATACAAAACTGACAAATGCCACAGGCACCTGACTTGGGACAGGTGCAAACATATGGTGGGGTTAAAAGCCTATATACTGTAAATTTCAGAAATTATTGCATGCATTTACTTATATTGCCAATTAACATAATCAGTCAAGGATATAACTCTATAGCATGTATAGGGTTATTACAGAAAAATAACATACATTTGTTATTGTGGACTAAAAAATCAAAGAACTGTGATAACATATGCATGTTACATGTTTCAAAGGGACAATATACATCATTAGTTTTCTTAAAATGTACACAGGTTCTATTGATATTACTATTGTCTTCATGTATACTTAACTATAGAAAGATATAACAGTTCATAGCTCGCCAATCATGCATAGTACACCTATGTTATTACTGAAAAAAATATGCCTATAATAACTAACGGGTGTTATTACAGCTCCTCTACATCATTCCTAAGCATTTGCTCAGACATTCATCATGCTTAATTACAATGTATTTTAATTTATTGTAAGAAATAATGATCAGAGCATGTAATGAGGTTCTGCGCAAGCTTCCCAGTAATTCCCAAGTGTCTTATATAACAAGTTAAATGCCTTTAATAACTAATATAAAAAAGAAGATGTGGTATGATTGCCAATGAGACAACTCCCCACAAGAGACCAAATGACACAGAAATTAACAACTATAGGTCACCGTACCGCCTTCAACAATGAGCAAAGCCCATACTGCACAGTCAGCTATAAAAGGCCTCGAAATGACAATGTAAAACCATTCAAACGAGAAAACTAACGGCCTAATTTATGTACGAAAAATGAACGAAAAACAAATATGTAATACATAAACAAACGACAACCACTGAATTACAGGCTCCTGACTTGGGACAGGCACATACATACAGAATGAGGCGGGGTTAAACATGTTAACGGGATCCCAACCCTCCCCCTAACCTGGGACAGTGGTGTAACAGTACAACATAAGCCTTGTTATTACAGCTAAGTTGATCCCTTAAAAGCCTCGTTCATTGATTTGCCATGGTTAATGAAAAATGTATTAATTTAATTCAAAAATTAGTTATCAAGGCTATGCATTTAGTTTCTGCGCAAAGTTTCAAGAGTTCCCTAGAGCCTACCAAAAATCAAAATATTTATGATTTATTTTACAAATAACAAACATATGTTATAACAGATTTAGAAAATTTAAGGATTTAAGAGTAGACAACTCATGAAAGTATCTGTAATAACACATGCAAGTTATTTTCTGTAATAACCCTATAGAGTTATATCCCTGACTGATAATCATGATAATTTCCCTTTCAATTTTAAAAAAATTCTGATTTAAGTTTTTGTTGTATATTGGGACTTTGGATAGTCTCAAGAATGCTTTCACCAATTGTTATGAAACTTTGGTGAATTGATTTTATATATTGACATAAACTCCCTTTTCATTTTTATGACCCATAGTGGGTCAACCCTTGACCGTCTGTCCCAAAGTCATTGGTTTTTGTTCTCTAATTAAGTTTGCCTCAACCAAATGTTATAAAACTTTTACAAAAGCTTATTACCACAATACTCAGATCAAGTGTGGTGGTGTCAGTGTTACCGTTCTAGAGTTATGTCCCTTTACAAATGGAAAAATTGCTGAATTTTTGGTTTCCTGCTCTCTAACTTTAACTTTAATTTGCCTCAACCAAATGTTATGAAATTTGCACACAATGCTTATTATCACAAAAAACAGTTTGAATTTTGGTGGTGTCACTTTTACTGTTCTAGAGTTATGTCCTTTACAAATGGAAAAAATGATGAATTTTTCGTTTCCGTCCTCTAAATTAAGTTTGCCTCAACCAAATTTTATTAAACTTTAACGCAATACTTTTTACCACAAAATCAGATCAAGTTCAAATTTAAGTAGAATAAATTTTACCGTTCTTAGTAATCTTCCTTTATAACTTTATATGATATGCAAGCCGGAGTATCATCCCCTATTTATTTTTATATAAGATGCAGAGTTATGGAATTTTAGTTGTTGGAAAATTGTTTAAAATTGTCCATTTTCACACTTTGGAAGGTTTTAGAATTGTATTTGTTCAAAAATCACGGCCTTAAACTTATATACACTTGCAATATCCCTAAATGGAGCCAAATTATTTTCATGTTTTGTTTCAATGAATACCACTGTGTGCATGTCCTTTTTTAGCTCACCTGGCTCGAAAGGCCAAGTGAGCTTTTCTTTTATAAAAATTATTGCCCTTGAAAGATGATTATCATGATTATTATAAAAATAAAAAGATGTGGTATATTAAATATGAAAACTATTGGTCATGGCTCTAAGAAAGCAATTATAGGCCAGAGACGGCCTTCAATAATGAGAAAATCCATGCCCTATTGTCAAAGTAGTCATAATAAAAGGCCCTCAGATGAAAAATTGAAATAATCCCAACTGTAGAACTAATTGCCTAGTTTATAACAAAACAAATTAAAAAAAATAAATATGACAGAAATGAAACAACAACAACCACTAAATTTTAGTGTCAGAATAAACTACAGGCGCCGAACTTGGGACAGGCACAATCAGAATATGGCAAGGTTATATAAAAATAAGAAGATGTGGCATGATTGTCAATAAGACAACTCTTCACCAGACAAGAAATGACATACCGTTAGATTTCCTGCAAAAAAATAAACAGTCCGGACTGAGCAGGAAATTAATACCTTTCCCTTAATCGAAAAGACACAAAGATCTGTTAGTACTCACAGTTACTGACAGCTAGTTAAAAATCAATAAAAACTAATACATGTAATAAAAAAATCAGGGTTGTGAGCACTCAACCCTACCTTAACTTTGGACAGTGGTTTAACAGCTCAACATATAAAGAACAAACTGTAAAATAACCGTTGCAATTGCTTCAACTCGAAAGATTGATAAAATGCACAAAGTCAACTAATATAAAAACCCATAGACAAAAAGCACGGAATTAAGAGAACTCACAAGTTAGAAAGGAAATATTCTTAAAATGTTCATAAACATGACAAAATAAGCTTTTTTATTGCTGTTTCTCTCTCCATTTATAACATTTTATTTGTTTATTTTGTGTATTTATAGGTGATCAGACATCTTGGTTTTCATGATCAATAGGTCTATACTGAAGAGGACACTGAAAGTTGATATCTATCTACATGGTGCGCTAATTGGATTAATGTGAAATGGAATGTGTGCTTGCCTGCAAAAAAGAAATAGGAAATTTCATCATAATCACATGATAATGGCTATAAACAAAATGGAGTTCTATCATAGATGCAGAAATTCACAATTGTATACATGTAAATGCAACAACATATTATATATATTTGTCGAAAGAAAGGAGAAATGAAGAAAAAAATAGTATTTTGTTGTTGAAAGGAACACAAGCTTTATCCACTCATTACATCATTACCTCATATCAAATATACTGAAGAAGATCTTCGAAGAACAAATTGCAAAAATGTTTTCTCTAAGAATTGAAGGAAATTGTTTAATGAATGGAATAATTTATGCATTGAACTTTTACGTAGTGGATTGAATAACTGTACACACATGACACAGCAGCTGAAACAGAGGAAAATTAAAATTTACAGGAAAAGTGTTTATTTTATTATTTAATTTGCAAATATGAACGCATTCTTAAGAACACCACAAATGGTATGACATTCAAATTGGTTGCTTATTAATGTATACAATTGAAACAATATCAAAGAAAACAGAATACTTTGCTACAAAAAATATTTTATAAATCAAAGTTAAACATTTTAAAGTCATATAAAGTATGTACAATACCTTGACCTAAACAGTCAGACTCACTGTATTGTTTTTGTATGTCATGATAATTTTGAGGCAAAAATTTATTAAAGTTTTAAATATCATTTGTATCATTTATTAAGTCTTGTAAACATTATGTTCATACTGTTTGTATAGTGAAGAAATTTACAATGAGTAAAAATAGTGGAAACCATTTCCTACAGGGAAAGTTGATGTACAGAAATTTCCTTTGAGGAAATTTGGAGAATAATGTTTTCCTTAGAGGAAATTTGTGGTATTGAATTTTTCCTCAAGGAAAAGTGTTTGTTAAAAATTTCCTCAAAGGAAATTGCAGTTGACAAAATTTCCTCACAGGAAAAAGTATTTCCTCAAAGGAAAATTTGAAGCTGCAAATTTCCTCAGAGGAAAAAGTATTTCCTCAGAGGAAAATTTGAAGCTGCAAATTTCCTCAGAGGAAATAGAATTTCCTCAAAGGAAAATTTGAAGCCGCAAATTTCCTCAGAGGAAATAGAATTTCCTCAGAGGAAATATTAATGCAGCAAATTCCCTAAGGGAAATCTTTTTCCCTTGAGGAAAATACAATTTCCCTTAAGGAAAAATCTTTTTCCTTTAGGGAAATTTGATTTCCCTTGAGGAAAACTACTTTTCCTCTGAGGAAATTGTTGAAAAAAGGGGCATAACTTTTTCAACAGTGGTGCTAGAGCCAAAAATTTTTAGGACAAATATCAGGGAACCAATACCAACCAAGTTATCAACTTCATTTTGACTTAACTCCAAAAATTAAGGTGACAACTTTTGCACTCAGCGGAAGTGCAAACTTGTCCCGGAGACTGTTCAATTCTTTTATAAAAAATTCTTGTCAAAGTATACAGAACGTCCTACAAAACAAGAAGACAAAATGTGTAAAGACCTAAGCACTCATATAGAAAATTAGGATT